TTTTTTTTTTTTTTTTTTTTTTTTTTTTTACCTGTACATATGCATGTGCTTTCAGCCTTTAAAATATATTGCACAACTAACTTTACTTTCCAAAAAGGTCTGGGATGCTGTGTAAAACATTAATCTATTCTTAAACAGAGCTGACAAAGAACTTCGAGCTGAAACCTGCTTATGGAGACGACTCTTCTATTTTACTGGTGACTGCATGCGTGATCACTGCATGTAACTCAGGACCTTAGCAAAATGAGCAGCTTTTAACTCTTTAACATCAGGCACTTAAACAGAAATTGACTGCAACCAAAAACAGAGAAAGGGATACAAAAAAAAGAATACACAATGGTTTAAAGCTTTAAAACAGGAATAATCTGCTCAGTTGGAAAGTTGGTTTTTACAGTGTGTTGATGTTAATTGTTTCCGCAGGTGATATTATCCACGGTTTCATCTGTGTACTTACAGCTTTCGCTGTTTCGGGAATTACAACTGCATCAAATGTCTGTGCTGCTCTGATGTTTAATTACTTTCCCAGTCAGTTGCAAGACTGGGAAAGCCTACAGGGCTGCAAAGATATTTAAAACGTAACGTAAAAGTGAAATATTTGTTTCACTGAGATGCCGTGTTTATGCTGTCGGGTAATTCTAACCACACCTGGGTCAAACATTCCGACTCGGCTTATTAGATTATTTAAGAGACAAGAAAAAGCCTTTAGAGTGCCAAACAATGACATAAATGTATAAACGTCTTACGTAGGGCAGAAACAATAAATAGTAATATTTAAGAAAGTCAGCCATATTAATAACTTTAGTCTGCCCTAGAGAATACACTGTTTAATAAAGTTAGCATTAGCCTTTTACCTGCTAGGAAAGCTAGTGCTAGCTATATTCAGTCACATTTTGACCAAAGAATTAGCAAAAAAAATAAAATAAAAACAATGTTGATGTAAAACGGTGAGGTTTTGCATTTATGCACTTTCTATTTAACCAAATATTTTAATTCATAAATGCACTTCTTTTGATTTGAGTTGCTCTACTTGAAAGGATTTAAATGTGATTTACCAGTTTATTAATTTAACTTCAAAACGCTTTTTCCCCCCCCCTCTCTCTCTCTCATCACTCTCTCCTGCTCTCTGAGGTCACTTGGTCATGTGTTGTCATGGAAACGGGCCTACGAGCAGCGCTGACAAGGAACTAGTGTGTTCAATCTCTCTGTTAAAACCCCCCCACGTTGACTGGAGGCAGAGAAGTCGGACTGCGTTTGGGCCCGAATTATTGTTTGGCTTTGGACTGAAGTCGTTAAAGTGGAATGTAAATATGTAAATGTCTGTTTTTCAAAACCACATTTGTCTCCACGTCTTAATTAGCAGCGGCACAGGAATGTTTTAAAAGATGGGTGGTCTGAAACAATGTCGGAATCTTTGTAACAAATATAAGAAAATTTTTTCTTTTTTTCACATGTATTTTTTGCCACCCTGGCGATTGTTAAGCCGAAAGGTTTTCGACTTACAAAAAGTAAATATATCCCATAATTCCATTGTGTTAAAGAGTTTCTGCACCAGATCCGTTCATATTTCACAGCTGAGATCAAATGGATTGTTTACGCAGCAGTTTGAGTGCAGGATGGGTTTGGAGATTTTTTTTTTTTTGTATTATTTGTACATATTTGCATTTATGTTTTACACAGCATCCTACTTTTTCATCTGAAACACACAAGCCCAAATAATCCTGCATACGTAGAAACCCCGGCCTCTGTGTGTAGTTTGATCTTACTTTGGAAAAAATGAAGTAAAAAGAGAGAGAGGGAGAGAACAAGACATTGAATGAAGGTTCAATAAAAAGGAAAACAAATAAAGTAGATCATATTCCAATATCATTCATTTCCATTACCCGTGAAACATCCACCCGTTATGTCTTATTTAGCAGAGAGAGGAAAAAAAATAGAAAACATTTCTTGACATAGTGACTTAAGGACAGGATATAATATCAAGACAGTTACAGTTTGAGTCCATTAAATTGAGCAATTTCAAGTATTTTCAGTCGATGCCACTCCATCCTTCTAGTTTCTTCTTTCCTACATTGCTTTCTGCAAATTCTTGTGTCGGGCTGTTGTTTTGCTTTTCAAATTTTTAATTTAGTTAGTCGTCTTTTAATGTGATTAAAATAGATTTTCTGCCCTCTTGCCACTGATTATGTAGTTGCCAGAGGCCATCTTCTTTTTAATCAGTGGTGGTTAATCGATCTTGATGTGAACCGCCACTGAAAGTTCACTTGTTTTTCTTCCACCAGTTTTAATCTATCTGATTTAGGAGATTAAGACACCGTTGCAATTGTTGCTGCTTTTCTTAAGACTAGTTTTTTTTTTTTTTTTGGTTATTGCAGGGTAAATGTGGAAGTTTCATCATCGCTCAAGAGTCAGCTTCACGTTTGTCTCTGGGTATAAATTGAAGCGAGAGTGGACATTGTTCAAATTAGGTGGATTGCTACAAATGAAATTGTGAATAAACATTTCCCGCTTTCTGCCATCTCACTCCCCAACTACAAAAAACAACAACAAAAAAACGATGAACTCCAACAGAATCCGGGTCAATTCACCCCTTTGCCAATTTGCACCTCGTTTATTAGCCATACATTGCTATTTTGTCACTTCTTAGTCTAATATCTGTCCAATTAAATCATTGTATGCCATGTTGTTTATTTCCTCACTGAGAGACAACCGCTAATTGTGTTTACTCTGGTTATTATAATCTTATATTAAAATTTGACTTGATATAACAAAACAGCAAAAAACACAAGAAACGTGTCACACCAAGATGTCCTGTGCTCATATTTCCAATTGGAGTCACGTTTTCTTACAGCAGAATGTAAGTTGGATATATTTGAAATTAGTTAGTGTGGCCTTCAGGTGACTTGGGGTCGGTACAAAACATCCTGTGGCAGACGGCTCCATTTCAAACCTGAAAAGGTCAGGGAGGAAAAGACCAAGGCTGCGAAAGCTACAAAATGGCAAAAGGGTGAAATGTCCAGAACCCGTTCCGAGCCATCTTCCCGCGGCTATGAGAGCGCCACCTGACTAGTTCTCTGCTAATTCCTGCGCACCAGAAGGCTTCAGAGAACCAATCAGGTTCCGCTGCTCACACTTGACTGGTTGGCTTTTGTCCTCTCCAAAGTGTTCAGAGTGCGTGATAGGTTGGCCTTCTGTCTGTCCAGGCTAGAAGTGTTCCTTGTCTGGACGGTTATGTTTCCAGCACCTTGTTGGTTGACTTGACTTCGCTCCAAACTGGAAGTGCGTGACTGGACAGTCCTTTCTCCCGTCACAGTAACGACGGGCCGTGATTGAGCGGCTCTTCCTCTGTCCAAACTGTTCACTGTGTTTAACTGGCTGGTCCGTCCGAGCCCTGCGGTACCAGCTCCAGCTGTCTGGCTGGGCCGTCCTGTCTGCTGATTGTTCAGGGTTTGCAGCTGGCTGGTCCTGTCTCTTTCAGGGAGTTTGGACAAAGTGGAACTGCTTCTGTCTGTGTTGATAGTCTGGACCCGCTGTCTGTCTCTTTCCCTGTCCAGGCTGGTGTCCCGTCGTACCAGCCCGCTCCTCTCTCTGTCTAGGCTGGTCTGGATCTCGGCTCTTCGAGCCAGAGCCTCTCTCAGCTGGTTGCGAAAGGTTTCAATCTTCACCTGAAGCTCCTGCAGCTCCCCCTCCCACAGGCTGGTCTGAGTGGCCCTGTTTCCCAGGGGGGAGAGGACCAAACCCGTGGACGCCAGTGTAGAGACCGGACCTCCGTTGACATGGAGATTGATCTGAGGCGGAGAGGTAAAGCTGCCCAGGCTGCCGAAGCCAAACCCTCCCAGATCGAGGCCCGGACGGCCGACCATGCCCGGCCGGCCGCGCACCGACGCCGTGTGCGTGCGCAGGCGGTAGCTGTGAAGCGTGTCCAGGTCAAAGTGTACGCGTTTTTCCTTGGGCTCATGAGACGGCGAGGAGCTTCCGGTTTCACCAGCTGTGGTGGAAGCAGGGAGGGATGTGGGAGGTGACGGCGGAGAGGGCTGATGCTGTTTCCTGTGTAAGGTGCAGTTTTCTGAGATACAAGAGGAGGGCCTGGAGTAAGAGAGGGAGATTGCAGCATGTTTCAAGTGACATTCAGTATTAAGCAGACATCCCTACATATATATGAGGAGGCAAATCTTTTTTATTATAGGATTTCTAATCCAATATTCTTTGGTCTCCATTTTGACTTTGTGACACATGCAGTAATACCTTGCAAAACTTTTCATAACCCTTCACCCTTTTTATTTATTGTACATTTTTTTCAGGTGTTTTGTTGGCATTTAAAGGGAAACAGGAAGTAGTAGTAAAATCTCAAAAGGAGTAAAGATGCAAATAGTCATAATACGTTTTTACAAGATGTAAAAAAAAAAAAAAACCTGACAGTATCACAACAACAATAATGTGTGTTTGCAACTATACGTTTGTGGTGAATGATGAACTTTCCCTAGAGTGTTTAAGCTGGATTTAGCAGAACATTTTCAGAACAAGAGACTGTGAACACAGAGGGCAAACAGAGATCAAAATGTCAGTGAGCTCATTACTTTTGGTCAAGGCCGGTCAGCTCCTTCCCGACATCCTCATATGTAGTGTTGAGCGCTCTGTGGATTTTCTGCAAGCAGAAGCGGTGATAAATAAATAAAAATTGTTACGACTTTATCTGACCTGTGTCAAATTAGGAAAGCTATTTTCAAGGCATTAATATTCCGCCTAGTTTCACAGAGCATCTGTGGCAGCTTTGTCTCTGAAAATTCAGAGAAGATTCTCTGAATTTCAGCTAAGTACAAATCTTTCAAACTTGCCATTTTGAGACAGTTTAAGTGTTACTGTTTGTCCAAATACACAGAGTGAAAATACATAATGAATGAACATGCTGTCATTTTCCCAGTTCTGCTCAGAAGATTATAAACACTCACCATTTGCTCTTACTGATTTAATGGAACCATTAATTTATTTATTAATTTTTTTAGAACCAACACTAAACGACGATGGTAATCATAAAAAATGATGTTTACAGCTATGATGAGTGCACATAAACGTCTGGCCAGAACGTTACAGCCGTGGCAATCAGACTTCTTCTTATTTTACAGGGCTCAGATTGAACTACTACATCAGAAACCATAGATAGAGGCTCTGAAGTGGCTGCCCTTTTGGAAAAACGTAGCAAAAGAATGCGAGCAGTCTTGAAATTCAGACCGCCGGCTCCATTATTCACTCCAGAAACTGCCACAGGGCTCTCATTTGGTAATGACTAGAGTTGCAAAAGAAGAAAAACTTCACATGACCTTTAAATTCTGCATTGCTATTCGTTTGCTATTTCAATATTGCTGCAAAACACCACAAGTTCTCAGATACAATATGTTGTATTAAAATCTCGAGCCCTGTTTTGTATTCCAAGAGCCCATTAGCATCGGATGAAAGCGACTTTTGCTGACAAAAGGCGTAGATGTACAATGGGCCGACCATGAACCAGAGCATATAGCACTGCTTATCGGAAATGTGCTTAATTTAAGAAGTTTAAATTAACTTCTTAATTTATAGGCAGCATTAAAACTTAATTAGGTAATTAACAAGTTTCTCCCCCACCCCCATTAATTAATGTAATTAACATAACATAAGGAGGTCAGACTGTATCTTTCCTCAGTGCCAAATAACCAAATTGTAACTATAATGATCTCAAAGTAAGTGTCATTAAAAGTTTGCAACAGCAGAGGGCGCAGGTTATCTGCAAGTGATGCAGGTGGGAACTTTGCAGCAGGAGCAGCTGGAGTGCATGAACACCAGAGACTAATATTAAGATTACAAGCAGCGTCTGCACATCTTTGCAGTAGATTTGCTTCGCTGTGTGCGAGATGTGACGGTGGGGTGGGGGTGGAGGGGAAGGGCGTGTGCATGCCTGTCCGCCCGCCCCATGTGTTCACCCACCTGGCTGGTGTGCAGCCAGTACTGCAGGGTGTTGGAGCGCCGGAGGCGGGGGACCACCAGGTGATAGAAGGTGTGTTCACCTGCCAAGGTCAGCAGAGCTCCGCCGACACCCATGCACAGCAACACAAACAGACCTGAAAAATGCTGGATGCCCATCTGCAGAGTCTGTCGAAGAAGACAGGAGGGGGGGAGGGAAGGAAGGAAGGAAGGAAGACACGGGAGCGTCAGAAACCCGGTGGAGCCGAGGGCCGGCAAGGATTCAAATGGAACGATTTCTTATTTATTCTTAAGCTAATTACCATTAAGGCCACTGCTAGTGAGCGCGCAATTGATATTCTGCCGTTGTAGTGCGGCTGTGTAAGCCCATAAGAGTAGTAATAAAGTGTAAGGTCGGGGGGGGGGGCACTGCTGGGAGAGGGGGAGAGAGAAGACAGAGGAAGGGAGAAGTGGAAGGCTCAACTTAGAGTAATAAAAAGGAGCAGCAGTTAGCAGAGAGACGATAAAAGGGGAAAATAGAGAAATAAAAAAAGCACTTTGTTTCCTTTCCGTTCGCCCACAACCCTTAACTCAAGCGACATCCATCTTATGACACGCTCATCAGAGGAAGTGGCGGGGAGCCCCTCCTCCTCCACCGCCGCCGCCGCCGCCGTCGTCTAATCACGTTTCCCCCACACCCAACTCATTTCTGCGTCGCCTCTGATGGCAATTAGCCCCATGCTGACTCGACAAATTCATCAACATCTACAATGACCTCCTTCTGCTCCTGATCCAGGGGGCCAACTTTGCACTAATGCTCACATTGTTTCAGAGTAGCCAGCTCTCCGGGCTTTAAACGGGATGAAGACGAATAAGTTCCTGGTGCGGGGTGAAGCTAAGGTTGCGTAATTGCACTTCGCTTCCATATTTCAACTTTGAAGTAGGATCCTTTAAAAAGGAACGGCCGAAGGGAGATGCACTGCTTCTTTAGTTGCAAATATGAGATACAGACATAGTGCTGTATCTAGGGATTTTAATCCTTTACAAAAAAAAAAAAAAATAGAGCGAAAGGAGAAGGGAGCGCAGAGAACTTTATGTACTCCTCACTCGCACACACAAAAAAAATATGACAAAATCGGAGTCGATGCTCAGTTTGAGCTTGAAACGCTAGTTGAGGTCGGTGAATAAACCTGAGTTTATGTAATTTTGGTGACTTATGTGTACGTCTTTGTGCGTGTGCGCTTTAGCTGGCAGCCAATCTCGTCCGCATCGCAACGGGAGACTCATTTATAGGCTTCGTTCTGCACACAATGCACGCTCGCCATGTGAACACTCCCACTGATGACTTACCTCGGTGACTGCAAAGACTCTCTTTCCGCAGGGTACAACCTTATACCATTTGTCATGCAGCATGTCCATGAAGCCGTCAGACTTGTAGCGACTCACAAACTCTGACACGTTACGGGTCAGAGGAGAGCCCTGGGGAAGGCCTATGCCGTAGCCTGGAAGAAGACATAGACATGGATGTAAATGAATGAATGAATGTTCCCTCAGCAGAGGCACTCAGAACTTTAGCTGTGCCCGAGGAACAGGGCATGCAAACTTTGTTTTTTTTTGTTTTTGTAGGAAAACAGTTGGCCACTTGAGGAAAAAAAAAGCCAAAGGGTAAATTCCCTATGGAAAATATGTAACTTCAGTTTCCAGGCTTCACTTTGAATCAGAATCAACCGTGTTTTCTGCCCGAGTTCAGTGCATGAGCACAACATTTAGTGCAGTAACCGGACATTTTTTTATTGGGCACACCTCGCTTGCACTTGGTTGGACGCCGTTTTGCATTCACAACTCCCTTAGTTCTTCATGGCGTAGACTCGGCAAGGTGCTGGAAACATTATAAGGGCATATGTAATGACATGACGACATCACAAAGTTGCTGCACAAAGATACGTCCAGCTGCAGAAGCCAATCTTTGGTTCCATTACATCCAGAAAGCTGCTTTCCTGAATAAAGATTAGGCGACCGTGGAGGCCATTGAAATACATCGTCGGGGTTCAATAAACACGTTTGGTGGAAAGGGTCAGTAGTAACACACAAGTAGGCTTCATCGTTCAAACGATGCTCACTTGAGGGACCCAAAGTGTCGCAAGAAAACGTTCACTGTCACTGCTGACTCCAGCCCGAGCTGCTGTATGTTCAACCTTACTACCTGAATGTTGCAAGCTGAAATCAGGAGTCACAGAACCAGGCAATTTTTGTGAGCCTTCACTATTTGCTTCAAATAGACAGAAACAGTTTCCAGTTTCCATCAGGCAAAAGTTGCACCTGGACTTCTGCTGCTAAGGCCCGTTTGCTTCAAAGTTCGATGAGTCGGACGTTCAGAGACGACACCCTGCATGCAGCTGTAGTCATTAAAATAGGAATGTTGTTAAAAAAGTTAATTCATTCCAGTAACTCAACTCAGTAAGTGAAACGTTATATAATTTAATTACACACAGATGGCCATTTACAGGCCTAAATTACGACGATCTGCCTACAGGTAGTGGAAACAAGACATTAACAATTAACAACTGCTTTAAGGTTGTTATTTTTAAGATATTTTTAATCTGGCAAACAAGTCTCATTGAAATGTAGATTCTATTTTACTGAATACGACTGTGAATTGGTGGCAAGGAATGGCTATTCTCATTATTGTTGCCAATAAACTCGAACCTATTAGCTCGTTCACCTCTGACCTCAACAAAGCACTCTTGCCCACTCAACTATCTCTCTTTGATTTTCTCTCTTTTTTTTAGACCTTTGTCTGTAAACCAGAAAAGTGGGTGGCGTTTTGAACATTCTAGACCATCAACAATTTTCTGAATACTGTGACCAGCCAGTTGGAGAACAACAACAAAATGTTCCAAGTAAATTTAGCAGCATTTCTTCCTCCTGCCCAGCTAAACTTCAGAAAGGCGTCTTCACCATGTCCAGATGCCTACATGCACTGAGCTGCTGCCATGTGATTAGCTTATTCACCGCTCGTGTCCGATGAAGTGTGTGCATCCCTACAGAAAAATCTCCCCCAACGTGTCCGGTGGAGGTCTCCATTGTGATTAAGATCACATTATTTTGCATAGAAGATGTCCGTTTCCTCCTTTGCTGAAACCCAAGAGGTGTTTGAAAGCAAACGAATCTAAAGAAAAGATCAGAAACAGAAAGAGGCCCTTGAAGAAAACCCCAACAAAAGATGGAAATATTAGCAAGGGGTCTTTCATTTCATGCATGACCTCCAGTGGCATCGGAGACAAATAAATAGATTTCGGCATTCTTCTATGCGAGAGGTGGGGAAAAAAAAAAGTCCTCTTTGTCCTTTTGTTGGAACTCAGTGAAGCATCCTAAATTTTTCTTTGCACATGATATTACTTGTACTCGTTTCCTTGCCCAGAGCCAGACCCGTCGGTCATCAGTCTGATCCTGGGTTAATCAATGTAGCAAGATTTGTAGACGCCACCCTTAAAATATCTTCTTACACTTTAAACAAGCTGTATGTATTAGCATAATTTCAATGTACATTGTCAAATTCTATCAAATAGTCCCTCTACCCCCACAAAGCCTCAGGCTTAACGCAGCTTCCCACCGCTGGCCTCCCTCGACGGCATAATTAACTACACCTTATTTATTAGAAGTGATTGTGAGGCAGAAAAAAAATAATCTCCTTTTACCGTAATTGTGTTTAAAGCGTGTTGGGATGCAGGGGGGAGGTATTCATAATGTTATTTCCCCATCAAAAACATACTTGAAATGATGTTTTATTGATTTCATGCATATTTTAGAGATCCACTAGTTTCCCATAACAGCCATTCGTTATACAAAGCTCCCCCTTGGAATTGCACCTCTAGACTAGCGGCAGCAGCAGTTTGCAGTTTCTCAGTCCAAACCTCTATAGACCGGCTGTAAACGGCGACTCCACGTCTAGTGCAGCGTGAGGATTTAGGTCCTGCCACAGACATCCACTTTGTTAGATGAAATGTGAACAATATGTATGATTTTAAGGCGAATAAAGAAGTGCAACTTTGAGACCGTTTTCCAAAACTGTTGCTCCATTACAATTTGCTGCAGTCAGTAGTTACAAAGCAGAACAAAAATACACTCGGATACACCGCATCGGCTTCTCCCTTTATCGCCAACTGATGATACAAATGGGGAATTTATGAAGATATTATTTTAAAAAGGTCGCAGGGTCGTGACTCACCCCGCAGCATGTTTCTCACATGTCTTCCTCTTCTCTGCTTGCCCTTTTCAACTCGCAACTTCTTACATTTCTACCTTGATTTCCTTTCTGAGTGGTGACGGCTGAATCGATGTAGACAGTATTAAATATATTTTTAAAATCCTTTAAACGGTCTGTTGTCATTCAGTTTCTGAAACACTGGATATTGATCCGAAGTGTCACAATATCTTAAATATAAACATCCTTCGAGTTGTTATAATTTGTTAAATATATGAAAAATCCATACAAACATACAAGACAACCGGGGAATATTTTGTTATCTCATGACCATAAACGTGTATCAGTATTACATTTTGTGGATAAATGTTTCTGTTGTTCACATTTAGCCGAGGCTGAGCAGCAACAAGAGCTTCAGCGCCATCAGCAAACAGTGTACCAGCTTTACGGTAGAACGGTTACATGCAAGCAATTTCTCACAATAATGAACATGAGTGCCTGGTGGAAATTTACCAAAACACAACAGAATGACTCAAAGACTATGCAAGACAAACACAGGGGGATCTGATTAAAGAGATTATAATACCCAAAACAAGCATTTGGAAATGAAACCAGACAAGTGTTCTGATTAAGACATTTTTTTAAATAATCTTTACTGCGTTTACTGACCTAACTAATCTCTCTGTTGCTGTTTTTAGTGCACATTCTGCACTCAGCCACCATGCACACAATTTTCTTGATCGAAATGGCTAAGGATTTTTCATCTTTTGCAAAGATTTTAAAAAGTCACACCAACTTCAGCCTCCGTTTAGTGCATTTGCTGTGATAAGATATCATTAGTGTGAGAGAAACCACTTTGATTTTCTGCAAACTCTGATTTCAGACAGTTAGCTGGAGCCTCCACTGAAATGCATTATGTGCCGAATTATCAACAAGTCATATCAAAACAGAGTCTGAACCTGCTCGTGTTAGCTTTGCCCTTCTGGAAAGAGCTCAAAGTAGAAATGTAGTCATATGTATATTATTTCTAGGAAGAAGGCCTCAGATTATTAAAGCTTGCATCTGTGTGAGTTGAGAAAGAAATATCTTTAGAAACAAATAAGTTTTTTTTTTTTTTTTTTTAGGTAAACAGAAGATTATGGCCAGTATTTGGCATATTTGCAGATTTTTTGTAGAGCATATCTAAAATACTGAAAAGAAAATACAGCTTTTGGAAGCTCAAATACCTAGCATAAATGCTACGTGACATGCAAAACAGCCAATTCAGGAGCGGCATTTATGTTTTTGTGTGGTTGATGAGCTGTCCCACCAGCGGTAGCGCTAAGTTTCCACTGCACGTATTCTTGCAGATCAAGATGTGTTTAGCATTTAAATCGTTTAATTGTGCAACATAACCACTATGTTTTTTTTTTTTGTTTTTTTTCCTGGATAAATACATTGAAGAGTAAATGTATTATCTGATTTGTATAACAGTTGCTGTTATTTCATTGTAAAATTATTCAGAATTTCCACTTTTAAAACTGATGTTTGGGCAGGTCATGCTGATTTTTAGGTGTGGCTGAGATTAGTATATAAAAAGGGGCGTGTGTGTCGGCGCGGGGCGGCAGAGAGGAAGACGCTCACCGTCAGATCTGTGCAGCGGGAGACTTTGACTGAAAGTTTAGAACAAGTGATGGATCAAAGGAAAGAGATAAACCAGCAATCAAAGTTCGGCTTGACGCTTTGGATTTTTCATTTTAGATTGGGACTTTGGATTAAAAGGGAGAATTTCTCCCAGGATATGGAACTCTTTAGTGGACAATATTCGCATTAAAAAGGAACGGGAATATTTGGACATTTAGCCATTTGGGTTTCTATACTGACATGAACTGAGTGAATTAAATATAACCTAACCTTATTTTTTGAGGGAATTTTGGTTACTGATCTATTTATCAGGATAACTATTATAATTTCTTAGCTTGTGAGATTTGTAATACATCATTGTTGCTAAAACTCAACAAAATTTCATATTGAGTGGTTGGCTATTTATTTACTTCTCAAATTAACTGGTGTGACATATTTTACCTGATGCCTGTGACGTGACCCCCTCGAGTGTATTTGCGACTTCCGCTTTTACAATTGGCAGTTCAGATTTTGTAATGCATCAGGTCTGTAATAAAAACCATCACCAATGAAGTGTGATAAATGAAATCCTTTCTGTAGTTCATTAAATCTGCCTTGTTTGTAGACGCCGTTGCATTGCTCTCATTTCTCTGCGTAAAGCTGAAAATGTGTGGAGTTTACGGGACCGGAAAGCAA